ACTTAACATCCCTGACTAACAGGCTTAAGTCAGATACAAGATGATTAACTCTATAAGTGACATAAAAGACCCCGATTTTTACTAAGTCGATATCGGACTGCCTTATCTACTAGTCCCATAATTATTTTGGTCGTAACATTGTGGCAAAAGAATAGAGAAAATTTCTGTGTTCCCCATTGGGCAATAAGAATATTCCTTTTGTCCTGAATTGTTACCTTTTATTATGAAGTCCGTTTGACAGCTTTCCCCTGTTATACCTCCGCGGTAAATAGGCTCAATAATCTTCTTCCTTTTGCCTGTCTCAATTCGTGATAGAGTGTGCGTGTGAAGGTAGTTTCGTGCTGTCCTCAAAATGTTCTAATGATTGGAATAATATCAATAGGTGAATTTAATGTGGGGATCTATGAAACACCTGATTAGTTTGTGTCATGACTCAATGTGCAATCTAACTCACCCATACCTTCTGTGAGAACATTTATTACATAATGCCTGAATAAAGATTTCACAACAGCAAATATAGCCACTTACTATCTGATGGGTATAAGCTGTCGTCGGTATCTATTCCTTTGAGGACATCTCTAGATTTATATATTCTGTTTTCTAAGTATAGGCCCTGGTTTTAGCCGCTCAAAATGTTGATGACTCAAGCTTCAGACTTGTTATTAAAGAGATATTAGCTGAATACCTCTAGATTCCTGTCGAGGAGGAATATACTGATCGCTGTCGTACGATTTGGCAATGTTATTCTATGTGACATGTTTTCTCGTGAGAAAGGATTTAACAGGACATTTTGTGCCTTACTTAACAACACACCCAACGATTCCAGTGCCTTCCTTAAATACACCACAATTTACAAGGAATAAGGCAGTTGCATCTGTTATTGAGCTGAAATACAAGAACCTACCCACATCGCCTCACATCTTTATGGATGTTACACACTCAGAAACTTGTTATATAAAGTGAATACTCTGTACTAGTTCCATCGTAAGATTTGAGATTGAATATACGCGTAATGCTACTTTGCACGCTCTAATCTAAATTAATAAGAATAGCCTCATTTGCTACAGGGATATAATGAATCTCTGACTTCCACCATATTTTCTGTGTTTCCGTCTCAAAGTCAAAAATTATCACTAATGTGTAATCCCTCCACTTGATTTTTTATCACGAACATCTATGGAGATTGTCGTTTCACTGTTATTTCATCATACTGTCTATCTTAAGTGGACTATCAAAATCAGGTCAACTTAAATAAAACTTTCAAAACTCAAACTCATTAGTTACATCTATATTGAGATGACCACATTTTATGCGGTTATATAAATACACCCATTATATTCTCAAAAGATGGCAGTATATTGTTTTCTTATGATAATCCCGCAACTTCTAACAAATTTCTGTTGAAGCTTGTATTTATGGCTTCGAAATGTTATTTCCTTGTGCTGATGCAATCAATTAGTTTACGTTGTCGCATAAACTTGCTAAATCTATCTATTCCATAACTTCTACCCATTCTTCCAAATCCTTATTGAGCGATTTATTACCAATTGTTTATCTCTTATCGGTTAAGAGCTCCGTGAATTTTGTGTCTAAATAGTGGAAGTCAGAACGTTCAACCAACTATTGCCATCTTCCTGAGACCTGATCCACATCGTGTGTCTGATAATTCTCCTGAATCTACTCTGCGATCGCCCTCTACCAGTCTCTATCCCGACCTCCAAGACGGTATGTTTCTGAATTAATCCTGCTGTGGAGCTATTGCCACTTTATCTGATATTTCTATTCCCATCTTGTTACTCACAAGCCTCCAAGAATTGAATGTTGCAAAAATGCCATGCAGGACGAGACTCTTCAAGCTGCATCCTACGACAATCATACATGGGAAATTCTTCCTTGTGCCCATCCAAAAATGTTAAGTCCCATTGGATGTAAATGGTTATTCAGTAAGTTCGCCTGACTGGAACCTTGAAATACGAATATAAGACTTCGATTTGGTTGCCCTTCACCCAATGAAGCAAAAAGACGGAGTATACTATGAGGAGACCTTTGCGTCCAGTTGCAAAGATGACTACCGGTCCGTTTAGCTTATTTATTTGCTAGTTTCGAAATGCTTTTCAAGGTCTGGCCGCCCGCTTCATCACAAATGGATGTCAAAAAGTTGCATTTTCGTTCATGAAAGGTTGATCATAAATGAAGACTAATTTATATAACACTTCATTGGGTTTGCCTTCCCTCATCTCAACACATGTCGTGTAAGTAAAAAGGTCTCTGTATGGACTAAAACAAGCTCACGTGCCGTGGATTTGATACAAGTTTTACGGTTCTACCTTTACTTCAGTTTTTCATTTGCTGCAAAGTAAAATATGACTGCCTCTTTGTTTTCTTCACAAGAGTCTCTGTGATGGTTTTCTGTTATTCTCACTCGCGTTGTTTATGTAGCATTCAATTTACTATATCACTGGCACTAACACATCAACGATCCTCACTCTTCAACCAAGTCTACTTACAAACTTGCGTTGTTTAATATGAAGGATTCTTGGTCCACTTACATATTTCTTAGAGGCTGAGAAGTTCACTGTATGATATGTTCCCTGGAATATTTTATGTGCCAGCATCAACACAAGATATACGTACAAGATTGTGTGGATACTTTAGCAGGCCTTCAAGATTTCATCCCCAGTTAGGATACTCCTTTGAAATTATAAACACCGTTCAATATCCATTAGCAAAACCGTGGAGTACCATGATGTCTTCTTCCTGGATCCATCTCGTGTATTCGCCAATTAGTTGGGCAGTTTGAAATTATCTGACTATTACACGGGCCCGATATGTTTATTTTTGCAGTTCAGGCCAAGTCAGTCAATTCATGACGTTACTACCGCGTCACTTACAACAGCTATGGTTAGCAAAGTTAGTCGAATTCATCAGCTATTGCTTCTTGGGCACAGTCTATCTCGGGTTTATTGCTTTCCCTACTGCTTCTCCCGTACCCTTGGTTGCTTTACAGTGATGCCTTGTTGGGCCCGTGGTCTCTACCAGACACACTCGTCACGCTACTATAACTGGTTGGTGTATCTTGTTTCTTGGCGATTCTTTGACAATATGCGTGTGGAGAAAAGTTAAGAGAACGAACCGTGTTTCAATAATTCTTCTACTGAGTCATAGAATATCGGAGCGTATGGTCCGCTCGCTTGCTCAGAATTGTTTGGTTACATGAGGTTATTGCTGAAAATATGGATCAATTTCCTCAGCCTCATTTACTACTCCTTACATGCATAGCTTGACACACACTAGTGCCATACAAGATTGCTACAATCCCAATTTTTTCTATGATACGTACCCAAACATAATGAAGTCGAGGTCATTCTTTCGAGATGGCAGTAGATAACAGGTTGTACATTTTCTCTTTCACACTCTCATCCAGCTGCTCTTTCAACTTTGCTGATGTATTCACTAAATCTATGACAAGACACGTCATCAATTTTTCTCGTTGGCAAATTTGATGCTTTCTGGGTCGCCCAGCCATCAATTTGAGGGGTGGACAATGTTAGTATATGTTAGATTATACTATTGTAATTAATTGACTATGTACTGTTGTTAAGATAGCCTGTAAATAAACCCGAGTGCAATATATAGGGAGATAAATTAGGGCATCAATATAGGGAGCTAGAAATTCAGGGCTGTAACAATGTCACCATAATTAGGAAGACAATGGGCAATCAATTAGGAGAGATATTAGGCATCAATTAAGAGAGCCAATTAAAGTGCGTAGTTAAATTGCAGCCATAATAGAAGACAATGCTGGCATCAAATCTTAGGGCTGTAATTTAGGAATTTATTCCCAAATTTGTGGAGAATACTCAAGTGCTAAATTTGTGGATACTTCAGTCTATTTAAACCCAATCAGCTTGTGGGAATAGACAAGCAAATTTTCTATCAAAATTCCATTGAAATACAGCAAGTTTGTCAGTTCAGTCTATTTTTGCGGTTTTTATCATTTCGGTTTGGTTCTAAGCCCAACCGCCGAAGTGACCGAATTGAACCTATCAATAAATTCGGTTCAAACCAAATGAACCGACCAACTGAACCTCTCTTGGGCATCAGACCGAACGGAACCAAAATGAATCAGTTTGGTTTTCGGTTCGGTTCGGCCAGTAATTTTGCTCACCCCTACTGTCTAGTTAGGTTAACTAGTGGGTCCTAATACTCTGTGTTTTTATTTTCAGTTGATAATTGGATTTCTTTCTTTCCATTTAATTTCTTTTATCAGTATATTCATTAAAGTATGTATAGCAAAGATGCTATGTATTTTTACCATGTATTGCCGTGCTGGATTCAGTATTGTCCTTACAATGAAATGGGTTTATTGGCAACCTAATATTTCTTGATATAGATATGCATAATTTTATTGATTTTTCCTCTAGTATCCCAATCAACTAAGGTGTGCAAGTTTCTGAAACTTCTGCGTTATTTTTTAACTGCTAGCTAATTGGTGCACATCAGCTTGTGTGGACAATGCACCATCCTTAATGGTCGTGCAAAATTAACTTTTTTTTTTTTTTTTTTTTTTTTTTTCTGTGCGTTTATTATTAACATCTCTTATTAACTTGTGCTATGCTAATTGGTGCAACATCAGCATTGTGGTGACAATGCACCTTCACTTTAAATGGTCGTTGCAAAATTAAACTTGTTTTTTTTTTTTTTTTTTTTTCTGCATGCATCCCACTAATTTTTTTGTCTTTTTTGTCATGGCAGCTGTTACCAGAAGGTGAAGGCCAGGTTCCGACCGTGTTCGATTTGGCCAAATCTTACATCGAGCACACCCGCCCATGGGCGATCAAGCATCACCACCTATGAGCAATATCAGTGCAGTCCCCACTTCACCAATGAGCGGACACAGATTATTTAAGGAAGAAGCACACCATTATTTGTTTGGCCCAATTCTGCATCCTCTCTCCCGCAAGGTGTTTTTTTTTTTTTTTTTTTTTTTTTGCATCACAATTTTTTTCTTTTTTGCATGGCAGGTTACCGAAGGTGAAGCAGGTTCGCCTGTCGATTTGGCCAAATCTTACATGCGAGCACACCCCCCATGGGCATCAGCATCACCACCTATGAGCAATATCCAGTTGCAGTCCCCATCACCAATGACGACACAGATTTTTAAGGAAGAAGCCCCATATTTGTTTGGCCGCAATTCTGCATCCTCTTCCAAGGTGCCATTTGGAAGACCTTTCTCTTGTTTGTGTGTAGGAGTAGTTATTTAAATGTTGATATGGCGTGTATGACTTGAATTTTAATAGTAAAAACTGATCTTGTTTGAAGGTTGTTTTTTCAACAGCTATTTGGATATTTGATCTTGGTGGACAAAGATCTCTTATTGGATGATCCAAATCTTCAAGGGTGAAAAAAAATTAAACAAAATCAAGCAGTAGGCATATTAGGTTCAAAATAGAAGCAATTCTAGGAGTAACTGAGTTCTGTGGCAGCATTGTTGAATGCTACCTTGATGTATGCGAGTCTTGCAACATTCAATCATGGCTAAGTTTTTGAAAAAGTTGGAAAGAAATTGAGCGAAGGAACTGAAAATAAGATGCTTGGTTGGAAGTTTATTGTTATGTGCCCAAGATAAATGAATTGAGGAGGCAAAACGAATAGGAAAATTAGAAGGATTTGTACAGTTGTGATTCATATTTTACTGGATTAGCTGACATTTTTCTTGTATTATTCTAACTCAATTTGTTGTGTTCTCCATGTGGAAACTTAAACGCAGCCTGTTAGAAATTCATCTGCCGCTGGTTCATGGAATATCCTGGAGGAAATAAGGAAAGTGAGATCTAGGGCAACTGAAGAGATGTTAAGGACCCGGCGGTCATCATTAATTGATTGGTCTACATTGGCTTCAGATAATAAAACGAGCCCTAATTCATTGGTGGTGGATAAAGCAGAATCTGGTATGAAAAATAAAGTGCATAACTCAATACAATTTATACATGCACCTTTGAGGATAGTGAAATAACTACTCATGCGGTACTTGTTTGAGAAAAACTCATTTGGCTAATTGTGTTCTGTACTTATAGCTCATTTTATGCCTTTTCAGTTTCACATGTAGCACAGGATGGAGTGCAGAATGAGGTTTCTATACCAGATCCGGCTACTTCAGTTCCTGAACAAAGTCAGGTAGTTGAACGGTGGGATTAGATATCGTTCAAAAAGTTTCACTTAAATTTTTCTTAGAATCTTTTCTTCTTTTTTCTTCTCTCTCTCTCTCTCTCCCCCTTTTCTGCAATTAGCTTGCATATAGGAAAAAGGAATTATTTTCTGATCTTAAAACAGCATGAGCAGCTTGCTATGTTTCATCTCATTACTTAATTTACTAATTTCACTCAATTTTTTTTTTTAAAATCTTCTCTTCTTTTTTCTTCTCTCTCTCTCTCTCCCTTCCGCAATTTGCTTGCATATAGGAAAAGGGAACTATTTTCTCATCTTAAAATGGCATGAGCGGCTTGCTATTTTTCATCTCATACTGAATTTACTAATATGTTTATGATTAAAACAAAAAATTTCATATGTCTAACGATTTATTAATATTTTTATGAAGGAAGTAGAAGCTAGACAAATTGTTGAGGAAGCTGAAGGTGCCTTTTCCAATTCGGCTAGAGTTTTTTTCTCTTCTTTTTATTGCTAGGTAAATTCTTTTTGTCATGAATTAAAAACTACTAATCATGGCCTGTGGGATGGCTCAGAAGGGAGATTGAGCCAAGGACAAAGACCTCAGCCTTCAGAAGATATGAATGCTGCATCACAGAGGTAAGCTTTCCCTGTTAGTCCATCTCTATTTTCTCTTTCCTCTTCCCTCTTTCATGTACACATCCTCTTTCCTCTTTAATGCACGCATGGAATGTTGTGATGCTATTTCTTTTCATTTGACTTCATCTCTCAACATTTTGTAGTGATGGTGATATTGCTGCTGATGGCCCCAAGGATGGTGATGGGATTGGCCAATCTTTGAACTATGCAGTGGGTGGAGATGCTCTAGGTTAGAATTTTAAATCTGATGGTCTAATGTTATGGTTTGTTTGGTATAAATGAATTCCATAAAATTTTATGCCATTTTATTACAAATCCAAATTTTCATGTTTGATATAAATGTAAATCCATTTAGAATTTCACATTTTAATTTCATGAAATTGGTTATATTTCGACCAAATTCTACCAAATGAACTCTAAACTTAAACGAAGTACAAGTCACTAAGCTAATGAATACTTGGTGCAAGTTAGCAAAGCGAGAATTCATTTACAAATGAAAGTTTTTTTTTCTTAATGAAATTCATTTGCAAATGAAATGAATTATACAAGGATTTTTCCAGAACAGTATGTATGAAATCATTCCATTGATGATGTCAATATGCATACCTGTAAATCCATGAATTAGGAACTAACAGCCTATATGAAACTGAGAATTCTATTTATCTATCAAAACATAGTATTATAGAATGCTATGTGATTGCCGCTGCTGTGTAACTTTTCTGGTGGAGTGTTTGTAATCTTATGCATTGCCTAACTAATCTTCTCTACATGAAATCCCAGTATCACCTGAAGTAAATTGTTCCACCGTGGAGGAAGTTACTGGGAGGACTGATGCAGTCGCTGCTAATGGTTTCCCGTCTCCAGGATCTAGGTGAAAAAGAGGCTGGGTCATTTCATTTTCTGTTTTCTTAATGTAATTTTTTATTTTCAAATGATATATTATTTGCGGTAATGCTTATTAACGTCCATCCTGCTCGTTCAGTTTGTTTCCAAGACAGAAAGCAGAGCAGAAGCTGAAGCCATCTGATGAGGATCAAGTTCCTGTTGATTCAGGACATGACATGATGACAAGAACTGCTCCCGCTGATGAGAAATGTGAACATTTGAGTGAATCTCATGTTCAGGTGCCCGCTGTAGATGAGAATGATAGTGCAGCCACAGGCTCCCAAAACAGTTCTAGCATGCGTTATGGAGGGCCATCACAGGATCTGTCGCAGCCAAATTTGAAACGAAAGGCAGGCAAGGGCAATGATGTCAAAGTCACCGAGAAGCAACAAGGAGGGAAAAGGAGATACGTGAGGAAAGTGAAGGGACGGGGTAAATAATGTTCAACTATGTCTGGATACTTTACTGTATATGTGACTATTTACTAGTCTAGAGAGACAGATGTTACCACGACAGGTATTGGGTAAAATTGTAATGAAATGGATAATTGTTAGTTTAGTGTTAACTGAGCATGGTTTTTGCCCTTAAATTGGGCGGTTGTTCGGTCGTCGTGACATGTAGGCAGGCAGGCATTTTCAGTCCAGGAATTGATTTATGGAGCTATTTGTATCATTTCCTATCAGAAGCTACGTAGACTGCTATGCAATGGTATTTGATTATTTGTTTTGGATTAATTAGAAAAAATTCGAAGTCGCCCATGAGATGTGTCCTTTTTACTTCATTTAATTATGTGAGCGAGTATTAGGTATTTAACAAAATGATTTTAAAAAACAAAAGTCACCTTAAATCTTTCCTTTTAAATATTTTGATTTGATATATAAAGCCAGAAGGGTGAAATGTAAAACCAATTTGGGCCGGTCGAGATCTTTTGCACCGTCGAATTTGGCCCAATAAAGATCTGTAATTTTCTTCTCACGGGACACGGCTATGTAAAACCCTGAAAAGATCGATTACCGATCACTAGATCAGCACCGGCTCCGTTGCTTGGAGTGTGCCTTTAAAATTGGACAATCTCTTATAACAGTTGACACGTCTGTCACTTAGGAAGCAACACAAACGCAATGGATCCTTACCCTTCCTCCTCCGCTCTAATAGCTCAGAAAACCTGGGAACTCGAGAACAATATAATCACGGTGGACACTTCTCCAACCACCAATTCTACGGCGGACGCCTCGTCGGATGCGATTTTCTACTATGACGAGACAGCGCAGGCCAAGTTCCAGCAGGATAAGCCTTGGGCCAACGATCCCCACTACTTCCGGCGCGTTAAGATCTCTGCACTCGCACTTCTTAAGATGGTGGTGCACGCGCGATCTGGTGGAACCATCGAGGTCATGGGCCTTATGCAGGGAAAGACCGATGGTGACGCCATCATTGTAATGGACGCGTTTGCTCTTCCTGTTGAAGGAACTGAGACTAGAGTCAATGCACAGGCAGATGCTTATGAGTATATGGTCGAGTACTCCCAGACTAACAAGCAGGTATGCTTTGAAAATTAGCTTCTTACAGTCTCTTTGTTTTTTTTTTTTTTTTTTTTTTTTTTTTTTTTTTTTCAGCTGATTACATGTTTAGGTGGCTTTTTATGGCTGTTGAAAAATACAATCTTAGAGAAGAAACAAGTATTGGATGTTTATTACTCAAGTAATGGTTACGTTGCTTTTTTTTTTTTTTTTTTTTTTTTTTCAGCTGATTACATTTTTAGGGCTTTTTATGGCTGTTGAAAACAACTTAGAGAAGACAAGTATTGGATGTTATTACTCAAGAATGGTTACGTTGCTGAATCTAATGGTTTAACGAACGAAACCTAGTCTCTCTGTTAAGATGTGAATTCACATATTCAGCTTACCAATTCTCCGAAAACCCAATTTGTAGGTTGTTTTTAGTGCTAATTCCTTACCATAATAATTTTATATACTTGAATTATCTGCTTTTTAACAGAGAATATTAGTTTTGAGAACTGTTAATAGATGTTACAGACTGTTACTATCTGTTAGTTGTTTGCTGGACGTTAACAGTTTCACGCTGTTGCTCTATATTTACAAATAAATAAATCATCTTGTAGTTCTTGCTCATAGTAAATATGTTTTTTTAGTACATATAGTCCATATTTATAACACTCGTTGATAATATGCTGTTGTCTAGGCGGGACGTTTGGAGAATGTTGTTGGATGGTATCATTCTCATCCTGGGTATGGATGCTGGCTATCGGGTATTGATGTTTCAACTCAAATGCTCAACCAACAATTTCAGGAGCCTTTTTTGGCGGTTGTTATTGATCCAACAAGGACTGTGTCAGCTGGTAAAGTTGAGATTGGGGCATTCAGGACATACCCAGAAGGATATAAGCCTCCAGATGATCCTGTTTCTGAATACCAGACCATTCCTCTCAATAAGATCGAAGACTTTGGTGTGCATTGCAAGCAGGTTATTATATCGATTTTTTTTGTCCATGTGGGTTTCCTTTATTTTCATTTGGCTGATGTTATTGTCTGTTGCAGTATTATGCTCTGGATATCACTTATTTCAAATCATCTCTTGATTGTCACCTGTTGGATCTTTTATGGAATAAATATTGGGTGAATACTCTGTCATCTTCACCTCTCTTGGGCAATGGAGACTACGTTGCTGGTCAAATTTCAGATTTAGGTAATTCCTTAGTTGTATTTGACCTTTTCAAATGTTGGCTGCTACATTCTATTCTGGCTGTCATGGTTAGAAATTAAGGATACTGAAAATACTTAGCAATCAGGTCATAAGTCTGTGGGGTGTATAAGATTGTTTATACCCATTTAGTTGAACTTGCATATTAAATTTCCTATTATCTATCAAGCTGAATAATGTTCTGTTCATTATACAGCTGAAAAACTGGAGCAAGCAGAGAATCAATTGGCTCACTCCCGATTTGGACCCCTAATTGCACCGTCTCAAAGAAAGAAAGAGGTGGGTGCTTTTCTGTTACTTATTTTTTATGTATTGTTTGATATAGAGAACTTTTTCTTTTTCTTAGTATGGGTTTCAGTTTCTTGGAAGCTTTTATCGATGCAAACTTTTGCTGGGCCGTTTCATCAATATCTCTTTACTATAGATGGAAATCTAAGTGCTATTGTCCCTTAAAAAGTATTTTGTTGCTGAATAGCATGCTTAGCATTTCTGATTTGGGTTTTAAAGCCAGCTATAGCAAAACAATAGCATGTAGAACTTTGCTCCAAATTTGTGCATCCGCGTGCACGTGTGGACATGTTTGAGTCTGTAGTTGGTATTATATGAGTTCAAATTCTGCGAATGATTATCATGTGCTTATGGTGGTCATTTTTCTTCAATTTCACATGCACAGCTATTCAGTGTTCATTTCAATCCATCTGACTAGGTTGTTTAGCTTCCTGCTTGAATCCATCAAAATTGATGGAAAGTTTATTGGTTTCAGATGGCAAATATCAAACAGCAAGACAAACTTGTAAACGTGTTGGGCCACCTTGTTGCATATAATATTTGTGTCTCACTTTAAGCAGCGGTTGATATAAGCAGTCTATCCTCCTCTCTATTCATTCTTCTATTATTGATCTTTCACATGGGAAGAAGTTTTTTCTCTCTCTTCATAATAATGTTAGCTACTCGTGTTAATAACATGAGTTCTTTCTTTCTATCTAAGATCCATTGACTAATTTGCCTTTTTTAATGTTTGTTCAAGAATTACTTTCAACTATTAGAAGTACTTATTCACAAAACTATTTAAAATCTCTATGAGCCCAAAAACTTTTGGAAATTTCAGTTACCCTCAATGGATTGAACTTGGATGAATCCCTAGAGAGCTGTCTGCTATTATAATTTGCACACTTTTTCCTACTTGTATGTGTGTTATGCTCTAGTTGCTTTTACTTTTGATTTTTTTTTTTTTTTTTTTTTTTTTTTTTTTATGCTCTAAGTTGCCTTTTACTTTTGTATTTTTTTTTTTTTTTTTTTTTTTTTTTTTTATCTCAATGACATCTGTTCTTTGGTTCATCTAATTTTGTGAGTTGGATGTTTGCATAAGGTTAATAATTGATTTTGGATCACCACTGGCTGTTATTTTTTTTTTTTTTTTTTTTTTTTTTTATCTTCAATACATCTGTTCTTTGGTCATCTAATTTTGTGAGTGGATGTTTGCATAAGGTTAATAATTGATTTTGGATCACCACTGCTGTTAATTGCAGGAAGAATCTCAGCTTGCTAAAATTACTCGTGACAGTGCTAAAATTACTGTGGAGCAGGTCCATGGTCTAATGTCACAGGTAATTGGGCTGTCTGCGATGCCTACTTTCAAGAATTTAATTATTTGGTTTGAAACAATTTGTTATATAAAATTCTCTGCTTATGGTGAACATTGAATTGATCTTCTCTATTTGTGCTTTAGGTCATCAAGGACATCCTTTTCAACTCTGTACGACCATCTAGCAGGTCGCGCACAGAGGGTTCTGGTCCTGAGCCAATGGTGGAAAGCTGATCAAGACTCACTAGCGACATAACGAGGATGGATGTTCCCTCCCCTGCAGAGTTAGCAAATTTTATTATGAAAAGGGAAAAAAATGAGTGAAGAAAATGACATTAAAAACCAAGTTTTGGTGATTTTGTTCCTCCTCAACTCAGGCAGATGTAAATTCTTTTTCGCATCCATCACTGAATTGGTGGGATTTAAACTTCTGATAATTTGGTAGTTTATACGTGTCTAACATATTTACAGAGACTCTTTTTAGCTCTCTTTCGTTTGGTTCCATATGCATAAGGACTGTTTGTTATACAGTATCTGTCCTTCGGTTTGGTAATCCAAACAGCAAAAATCAAATAGAAACGACGACTACTATTAATATGCCTCAAAAACTAAATCTAGCAGAAGCGAACGGAGAATATCAATTCTATCAGTGCTTGTCTGCGAAACCAGCACTGAAGCTAATACTAATTATACAATGAGGATGTGGTGGCGGAGAATTTTCTTGCATTTACAAATTTTTTCATGTGCCTCAGAAACCATTTCTTCTGTTTCCAATCTTGGAAAACAATTCCTCATTCTCTTTAATTTTTGCTTTCTTTGTCTAATGGATGAGATCCTTGGGAGGGAGATATCCTTGTGGTATTCTCTTTTTTTTTTTTTTTTCTTTTTTTTTAAATTTCAATTATGTCACGTGCAGTTGACAAAAAGGGTGAAATTCAGGTTCAGTTTGGACTTTCCTCCATAGATCGATCGATGTATCTATCCATCTTTTGTTTTTCAAAGGCAGAGGTGCAAAGGGGAACCACCGACTACTGAGATTTCACTAGTTGCGTAAACCAATTCAACTACTCATTTTCACTTAATTGACGAAATTACTACAAGTCTCAGGATTCAGTTACGTAGAGATTTTTTTTATTTTATTTTGCTTCTGTGGTAAAATAGTGAAAATTCAATTTTAAAATTTCGAAAAGGTGGAGCTGAGGGACAAATAAGTAAATTTGAGAGATGATAGAGCAATAATTTACCAAGCCACACGCAGGCTACCAGTCATTCCTCAAATTATTAGTTATAGTTGATATGGAAAAGCAAACACTCCTCTCCTAATTAAAAATCAGAGCTTGGAGTTGAATATATATAAACCACAAGTCATGCCCTGCAAATTGCAATCATAAATGCTGAGAGCGATTTGAAGAAATGGATGGCCGATAAAGAAAGCTAAAAGAGAAACCAAGAACTGGTGAATCATATGGAAAGGTGGGAGCTGACAGCCAAACATCTTTTATCCATTGGATGAATCCTACACAGTTGATTACATTGTGTTATAAGAACCCATAATTTTTTTAAAAATTTTTATGTATACCCAAAAGAAACAAAGATATGCACAGGTGTGGTTCACATGCAAAGAAAGAAAGCAAGCACCTTGTGAGTTTCATTTTTCTCTGATGGGTGTTTTTTCTGATTGTAATCATTTGGATGGTAAAGTGTAAGGCCCTTTTTCGATCGACCTTCTCATCACTATCACCATACCACTATTGAGCAATATAACACAAAAAGGCCTTACCAAATCTTCCACTTTTTATCTCTTAGTGGGTATTGCGCTTACACTCTTTACAAATCATGCTCTTCATGACTCTCTCTCTTTCCACCAATTTCTTTCAAGATTAGATTCTTATAAGATAACAAAAAGAGTTGTCTTTCACAAGGAATGGTCCTCTTCATGAGGTTTGGTTTGGAAATTGGAGATGTAATATGTAGAGTCAGCTCTCAACTTTGAAGTTAAAAACTTGTGACATTGTCACATGCTACTAACTCTCCATCACAACTACCTTACCCTCCTTTTATAACTCTTCTTTAACTTCTCTTTTATCTTGTTTTACATTTTCTATGCCTAAGCTTGAAACAGAGCATGTGAGACCATTTCTCTACACTCTTGAAAGAAACACCTGCTCTGCTTCCATTGGCCTCTTACTATTGGTTGATGTTTCTCCTTCCTAACAGTATTTCTTCCAGTAAAATTGAAAAGCATTGTTGTTTTCCCGTGAAAAATCTTCAGGAGTCATCTGCTTGATTGAAGAACCTTTAGCATTATTTTATCTGCACAATTGCAATTATGTGTCAATCTGAAGCTGGTCTTCTTTACCCATTAATTGTGGCGCCTTGGATGTGTTGTTTCTTTATTCTTCTTTTTTAAATAATTCTTTTTCGTAAAATTTTCAATTAATTAATAATTAATCAATCTGTGTCCTAACTTTGACACGTATATCAATACTTTATTTGATAGTTTGTTAATTTATCCTTTTTTTTATAGGAAAGTGACAAAGATTATCAATTTAATTCTTTTTGAAAAAAAAAATATTATTATTAACTTATAAAAAATAAAACAAGAAAATAAATAATTAATTCAGAGCATTTTAAATTAGTATGTAGACACGTATTATGAGAGAGAGAGAATATAATATTTTTATTTTTCACAATTTTGGGGAATCACTCCTTCTGTGGCCTAATCAAGGGCCCTTCTTGAAAATGGTCCCTGCTGTATATATATATATATTGAAATTAATTAATTAATTAATTAGGTCGCCATGTATGTATTTTTGTTGGTAAAGGATAATTTGTAACATAATGCTCTATTGATAAAGAAGAATTTAGTCCATTCATTAGGTGATATGATATCAATTCATTCATAGGTATATATGCTCTACCCACTTTCCTTAGTGCTTGTCTACTCCAAAATATGAACCACGTAATGCCCTGTTTGTTGTTTTTCTATTTTTCAATTTTGAAAGAAATACCTATCATTTACATTTATTATTTTTGTTATTTCATATTTTTAAAACAATAAAAAACAAAATTCATTCTTTTTTTTTTTTCAATTCAATTTCCAAAAAATAAATTTTTATTTCGAAAAATGGAAATTGAAAACTAAGAAGACAAGAATTAGAAACTAAAACCCCTTAAAGGATTATTTGTTTCAAGAATAAATTGGCATGTAAGACGGAAAAAGATAAAGGAAGCCAGTCAAGACGGCGTTGATCCATTTTTTTAATACATGAAAAAAATCATGAAATTGCAATATGCATTCATAAAGAATATATTACAATACTGTAATTTCAGCTGACTGATGCAATTATAATTTCAAATACAAATGGCATAAAATGGAAGTAGAAATTGAGTGAAACAAGCAACTATCTTGACTGAAACTTTATATATATACAACACAAAATGTGATGTAATTATTCCGTCGCTCACCCCCTTGTTCGAGTGCCTGTCTTCAAAGGAATGAACCAATTGCTCACAGTTACCTAAGAATCTTCTTTGTGAGGTACACATCAATAGGACAGTGATAATAAATAAAAAGCAATGGTGCCAAGGAAATTGGAGGCTTTATAGGCACTCTTTTTTTTTTTTTTTTTTTTTTTTTTTTGAACAGTGTAATATAAAAAAGCAAAATGGTGCCAAAGCGAAATTGGAGGCTGTTAATAGGCACTCTTTTTTTTTTTTTTTTTTTTTTTTTTTTGGTACATAATAATGGTATTCTTTTGTTGAAGCTGAAGCAGGTCTTTTCAATGGAGTAGGTGGGGACCTTAGGAAGGAACCAATTTCTCTTCGTTCACTGAAAATAGTCATGAACACTAGAAATGGCTGTTGCTGTTGCTGTTGCTGTGAGTGGGAATATAATATATTCCCTTAGTAATTTATAGGCCAACTATGCCATTTTCTTTCAACTGTAACCACTACATGTTTGTCCCCCCAATCAAACCTAAGTATAGATCATGTAACTACAAATTTGCAATTGTTTTAGAGGGGACATAATAGGTTTGATTTAAACATATTAACAGTTTATGGGATGTTCGTTAAAAAATTTCACTGGGAATTCGTGTGCTTGAGAGTCACTGGTGATTAAATAAATCAAAATTTTACTATGATTGTAATTTTAAAGAGACGCGAAAGCGAAAGCATACAACTATTAACCCACGAATTGGTAAATGAACATCAACAATTATAAATTTCAGTAAAATTAAGTCGGAATAACCTTAAAATAGGATTTGATTTTAATAAAACATCCCAGCGAAGGCAAACTTCTAATGCCTTAATAAAAGGGTTATAGCTCAGTGTGTGGATTATTTGGGACAGGTCAAACTTTAACAACGAGAAATTGTACGTTTTGCGGTACGGATTTGGCTATCATAATTAAGTATTAAGCAATGGGCAGTTATAGCATGTGATGGTGATTGCTGGTGACAAAAACAGAACCTAATGCCTTGCAAAGACCGGAATGCTAAAAAGACTAGTTGCATTTGCCAATTAGTCTTTGGCCGCTGCGTCAATCTTTAAATATTCACGTTATAGATACTCATATGACTATTCTTTTGAAATTCTTAAATGTATTTTTGTTTAATAGGAAAAGGAAGTAAAGTTGAAGAAAGAATAACAATTAATTAGGCACAATTAAGAAACTTGAAGTGCATTGGACAAGAAAAATCAAACTAGTGTGTTAATTGAGGATAGGTAATCGTGGGTTGTGGAAGAAAACACCATGCAAATGCAAGACTTTTCCCACTAGAGACAGAAGGGGGCGTTTCATGTCTATATACTATTCCATGCCAATTTAATGAAGAAAGCTTTAGTTAGATGGCCAAAGATAAGCTTCATTTTCAAGTCAATGTTATCATTCATAGTAATGAAAATGAATATATATATATATATATATTATATAATATATATATTTTATATTTATCATTGGTTATTAAAGCGAGGCTTGACTTTCAGCGGATCATTCTGAAAAATCGGTGAATCGAATTTTAAAAATTAAAAAAAAAATAATAAAAACAATATTTATATGAATAAAATTTTATTGAGCTGATTTTATTTTTTGTAAGGTTATTTCTACGTCTAACAATGTGTGAAGAAATACACTTTAATGATAATGTTTAAGTGCATGAATGCAAATTTGAATATATATATATATATATATTTATATTTATCATGGTTATTAAAGCGAGCTTGACTTTCAGCGGATCATTCTGAAAAATCGGTGAATCGATTTTAAAATTGAGCTGATTTTATTTTTGTAAGGTTATTTCTACGTCTAACAATGTGTGAAAGAAATACACTTTAATGATAATGTTTAAGTGCATGAATGCAATTGATGATGAAGGGTGCTAAAAAGATGTGTCATTTCTTAAAATTCATACATTCTTAAAATTGGTGATGAAGGGCAGTCATTAACCAACCCAACTGAGGTGTTGAGGCTCCAACTTGAACCACCACCGCTCTTTGACCAATCCAACCTAATCTAAATTCAGATGATGCAAAGGACTAGTAGGCATGATTTTAAACTACGAGTCAGAAAGCTAAAAATCCGTTAATGCAACGAATGGGTCATTTTGACAACAAACACGCAAATATAAATAAACAATGACCCACATTTCATAATAATCTTACAAGCATTTCGCATTTGCCAGTGGGAAATGGGAGCCAATGACTTGACTGCCACCAAATCTGGAGGATTATTACGAATCCCTTCCAAGTTTGTTCTTTGAATTCCCCACCGTTAACAAACAACACACTCCCTATACTATATTATATTTACACACCTAACCTAAGGAAAATAATAATAATAATAATAATAAATTGTTCGAGAAATTTATGTGATTTAATTATTTTTTAAATTACTGTATAAAAATTTAAAACATAAGTAAAAATTAAGGAAACAAAATTGACAATTCTTACTTACGTTTGTGCACGTTGTGATTGGATTTGGAATTGGAGGGTGAAACATTCTTAATAGTCTAAGGTTAAAAGTCGTGACATGATGATGATTTCAACGCCAAAATTTGTTGGACACATGATATATACGGCTAGCCTACATACCAAAAGTCAATTTCATATTAGTTAATGTGATTTTGCAAGTCAATTACCGCCGTGTCCTTGTCGCGTGAACTCTACTAATAATTAAATATTAGTCCATAATTAAATTGCCTTTTAAATGTTAAATAGTTAAAATTGTTTATTTTATAGTAATTCAATTTATCCTAACTAACATCTAATATCAAGCGTACGGTTGAACACGAACACTGTACTTTGAATCAGTTAAGGTTTTAGTCCTGACGCGTACCGAACATTTATTTATTAGCTGTTTTTGGAAAAAAAAATTAAAAAATAATTTAATTATATTAAAAAAATATTGTATTGCCGTTCACATAATTTAATTATTTTTTTAATTAGGCTCCGTTTGTTTTCGTGAAATAACTTGCAGGAAAATAATTTACTGAAAAGTATTTTCATGGAAAATATTTTTTTCTTGAAAAATATTTTCCAAATGACTTATTTTTCGTTGTTTGGTTGTAATATTAAAAATTAGTTAAAAATATTAAAATCTATATCTCATAAGACCATAAAAAATATAATAATAATAGAAATTTTATAATTTAAAAATTTTATTATTAAATATGAAAAGAAGCAAAAAATATAAATTATGAAACACAGACTTATAAGATTACTAATGTCCGAAAAATATTTTACTCTCTCTAGAATAAGAAGTTATTTTCCTTAAAAAATGATTTAATTTGACAAGAAAAATATTTTATGTTAACTTATTTTCCTGAACGCCCCAAACAATGAAAAATTATAAAAAATATTTTTTTTAATTATTTTACATATAAAAATTTTGAAGCCAAATAAAAGTCATCAAAGAGAATACAATGGAAACACAAATTATGTTGTTTGAATTAAATTATTTCAGACTAAGTTTGAGCAAATAGGAATTTGAAAAGAAACCATAAGGATGGACTCCCAAATGCTGTGTAAAGGACACGCTGTT